CCCGCCCCGCCCGCCTCACTCTTGGCGTATTTGGGAGGACAGCCGTCCAGCGCCTGTTCAAAGAGGTCCCGCGCTCGCTCCAGCTTGCGGCCCCCGTAGCGGGCGATGAACTTGGTCAGGTAGGTGCTCCAGATGTCGGACACGTTGGGCCACTTGAACAGCGAGATGCCGCGCTCGTACGCCTGCCCCGAGAGAGGGAGTCATGCGTGGGAAGGCAGGGCGAGCGTGCGTGGCGCCCAGGCTGCCAGGAGCCTGTCCCTGTCTCCCTCGGGCTAAGCAAGGTGGCCTTTCCCTCGCCACCCCTCCCTCCAATCACAACGCAGTCAAAAGGGTCTGTATGCCTCCCTCAACAGACTGCAAAGCCCCCAGTGACAGGGCAGGACTTGGACTGACCAAGTCACCAGGAGGTAACGTTATGGGCAGGGGACTTAGGGGCAGGGGCGGGGGGGACCTCTCAGCTCTGCAGACACTGGAGCCCAGAGCCCTGCGAGGAGGTTCACATGCCAGGGCCAAGGGGCGAGGCCTGCATCACTCAGGCCGGGGGTGGCCTGTGTGTCATGTCGTGTACAACCTCCCCAGCTGTGTCCGGATAGTCTCCACACATAACCCAACACGTCAGGCAGCCTGGTGGGGCCTCACAACGTGTACACGCGGAGACCTACAACCCAGGGCCTGAGTGACAGGGCGGGGACAGCCCACACACACCCACACCACCCCCCGCCATACACACAGAAGCAGGGTGAACAGTGTCCCCCAAATTCCTGTCAAAGCCATAACCCCAGGACCTCAGAATGGAACTGTACTTAGAAATGAGGTCTTTAAAAAGGAAATGAAGATGAGATTGCTATAGTGGGCCCTAATCCAACGACTGGAGTCTTTAATGAGATTAAGACACAGACACACACGGGGATGACCACGGGAGGCCACGGGAAGAAGACGGCCACCTGCACGCCAAGGAGAGAGGCTCGGGAGAAACCAGCCCCGCCGACACCACAATCTGAGGTTTCCAGCCTCCAGGACTAAGACGACACGTCTCCGTTAAGGTCCCTGGTCTGTGGCACTTCGTTAGGGCGGCAGAGCACGCTAACACAGTGCCCGAGGCACTGAAGAGGACACACTGCTGTCTGGGGCCCCCAGGTCACCCCCCTCACCTTGAAGCTCTCCTCGAAGTACTTGTGCTCCTCCAGGAACATGGCGTAGTTGATGACGATCTGGGGCGTGGCGATGCGCAGGTCCAGGATGCGGTCATACACGGCCTTGGTGGACTGCGGGGCAGGGGCGGGTCGGAGCATGTCCCGGGGCAGAGTCTGCAGCCCCAGCCCACCCCCTGCCACAGGGCCTTGGCCACGCAGCTCACCTGGAAGGTGCCCAGGCTCTCCTCTAGGTCAGCGAGCATCGACCACACCTTCAGCGACTTGTACACACGGTTCTGCACGGGCTCCGAGCCGTCAAAGTACTCGGCTCGGCGGGCGGGCAGCGCGGTGGCCTTCTGCAGGGAGCCCGCAGCGGAGCGGGGAGCTTAGGGACGTCCGGGGCCTGGCCACACGCCCCGCCCCGCCCCCAAACCCCGGCGTGCACTTACCCGCAACAACCGCAAGGCCTGGTCATAGTTCTCGTGCCGGAGCTCCAGCTCGCCACACTCACACCACACGCTGGCCAGGTCGTCCACCTGCTTGAAGCTCACCTTGGTGGCCTTCTCCAGGATGATGCGGGCCTGCCAGGGCGCAAAGAGGGCAGGCTGAGGCCCGGCCTGCCCACCCCCGCCCCCCGCGAGGGTGCACGTGTACACAGCTCAGGCAGACGTGACTGTGCCTCCTGTGTCCTCTGACCAAGGCATCTGCGCGCGCACACGGCACAGCACTCACATCGTCCAGCTGCCCGTTGTCCTCGTAAAACTTGGCAAACGCGACCCACAGCGTGTGGGGCTTGCCTGTCGCCTTGAACGGGTCCACCGTCTGCACAGCCTCCGTGTATGTGTTGATGATCTGGGCGGGAAGGGCTGAGTCAGGGCCCGGGCCGGTGGGGGAGGGGGAGCGGCAGGGCCGAGGGGGTGGGGCCGCCACGCACCTCCCGGGGGCGGCCCTGGTGCAGGGCCACGCGCTTGTGCCACTCGTGCACGTGGTGCGGGTTCTGACGCAGCAAGACGCTGTTGAGGAGCAGGGGCCGCCGGCTGATGAGCTGCTCGAAGCGGGCCAGGCGCAGCTCCAGGTCCACGTCATCTGCTCCACGTGATGAGGGCCACGGAGCAGAAGTGAGGGCCTCGGCGCACAGTCCCCACCGAGTGCTCCGGGCTTTGTAGACTCACCCCACTGGCCACCCGCGCTGGAGGTGCATCCCTCGTCCTGGCTACTCTCCGAGGTTCCACCCACCCTGGCCCCTCGGCCGGCCTCCGTCCCTGCCGGCCCCCGAACCCGGAGATGCACGGCTCCCCTGCCCCAGCCACTCAGGACGCTCGGAGCCCTGCCCGCCAGCCCGGCCTTCTCCCCTCACCAGCCCAGGACCGCCGTGGAAGCTCACCTTCTTCCTCCCGCCCCAATTCTGAGGCTGTCTCCATCTTGGCTGCAATCATGCTCTCCTCAAACTGGGCATAGCTGTCGAACACCTGGGTGAAGTCCCGCACGGTCATCACGGTCCGGATGGCCTCCTCATACACATCTCGAGCCTGCGGGCACAGGAAGGGTGAAAGGAAGGTGCTGGCTGCCCACCCGTGTGAACACAAGGAACCCAACGGTGCCACCCTGGCAGCGGTCCAGAGCCGGGGTCGCCCAGCTCTGTCAGGCTCTGAGCAGTGACACTCAGCAGAGCCATGACTAGAGCCGTGCCCCGGAGCCGTCCCCTGCCCCCTGCCCAGCCAGAGCGCTCTCCCCGGCTCGGGCCCCTCCCCAGTAAGCTGACAGTGACGGTCCCTTACGTAGAACCAATGAGGCTTGAGGGAAACGCGTGTAAGGTGCCTGACACCCAGTAAGACTCGTGAGGTGACCGACCCCCGTGCCAGGCTTGGTGGGTTCAAGGCCACCCAGCCAGGAAGAACTCAGGTCTGGCCAACCCCAAGGTGGGCATGCTTGCCAGCAGGGCTGGACCACTTCTCCTCACCTTCAGGAGGGCCATGCACCTGGGTGTGTTTTCTGCTCCTGCACATGCCCACGGGCGTCCCCTGAATGCCGTCCGCTCGAGGGACCGCCCCCCTCCCCTCGTCGGCTCCCGGGCCCGCTCACCTTCTCGAAGTGGCCGCTGCGGATGTAGTAGTCAGCCAGCGAGCACCAGAGCTTGCCTAGCTGGTCAGTGAAGCGGGTGAGGCCCCCGCGGATGATGGCATCCACATTGAGCGACTGCACCTTGTCTGGGTTCTGGGAGATGAGGTCACAGAGCTCGTGCCACAGCTGCAGTGTCAGGAGGAGAAGTCTGAGGCCTGCTGCGCACGGGGGCGAGCCGTCCTGCCCCGCCCCCGGCCCCCCAGAGGCCCACCTGGTAGTTGGACTTGCCGGCCTTGGACACGAAGCGCTCATCATTGACCACGGTGGCCAGGCGCTGCGCGGCTTCATCCAGCCGGTCGCTGGACTTGAGGTACTCGATGTACTCCTCTGCGCTCTCGGGGCTAAGCTGCATGGCAAGCGGCCCCACTGGCAGTCAGGGGGGCTGAGGAACCGTACCACGACAGCCCCTCCCCCTCGGCGGCTCCAGGGCAGCCAGCCACCACTGTCCCGATCAAGAGCCAGCCCTGTCGACCCAGCCTCAGCCACCCCTGTCCAACCTGGGTCCCACCACTGTGGCTTCGGCCCTGCAGGTCCAGCCTAGGCCCCACTGGTCCAAGGCCAGCCCCAGCTGGTCTGGCTTAGACAACAACGGTAGAGCCTGCACCGTCCAGGCCCTGCTGTTTACCACAAGCCCCCTGGCCAGAGAGCACTGTGTTAAGACTTTCACAATGTATGACACTTGTTAGAAGTTTAAGAAAGCCACACACCATCCGCACCCGGTTTCCACCTGGAGACGCTCCCACAGCCATTCATCTCACATTCCCCGCCCTCCTGCGGTAGCGGTTTTCCTGGTTTATGTGGTCAGCTCATGGGCATCTGTCTGCCCGGTTAGACCAGAAAGTTCCACGCATGCAGAGACTGCCTCTGTCACGCTGTCCCAGGACCTGTCTTGGTACCGGACATGCAGCTGCTGCTAGCAAGTATGTGGAGAATAAACAAATCGCCAACAAAAGCCTATCTCAGGAAGCCTTTTCCCCACTTCCTGTCAGGTGACATCCTGCAAGGGGCTGGTGTCCAGGGAGCCAGTTCTGGGCCCCTCTTGGCGCGAGGTTGCGGCCCCGCCCAGCTCACCTTGAGGAAGCGCCGGTAGCCCCGCACGGCTGTCTCAGGCAGCGGGTGCGAGCGGAGGAAGCGCAGGTACAGCGGCCAGATACGAGAGTGCTGCGTGATGGGCAGCGCCCGGAGGGCACGGTCAAACGTGCGGCGGGTGTGCGTGACGCGGCCCTGGTCCATCAGGAACTGGCAGTAGTCCAGCCACAGACGGGGCATCTGCAGGTGCGGGGGAGAGGCGTGCTGTGCGCTGCGGGCGCCACGGCCCGCCACAAAGACCCCCGCTGCCCTAGGGCCCAGAATGCAGCAACACCCAGAACCCCCTCCTCCAGGACCCAGTCTAGCTCAACCACAAGTCTCCCGAGGCGGCAGGACTCCCAGCTTCGTGCATTTCCCGGGACTGAGCCCCGCCCCCCACCTTGTGCATGAACACAAAGGCCCTCTCGTGGCAGTTGTTGGCATCTTCGTAGGCAGGGTCAGTCACGCAGCGACGCTTCACCTGTGCCCGGCGTGCCTTCAGGTATCGGTACCAGAGTTTGTAGCTGGGGGGGGGGGATGGTGCATTTTCAT